AAATTTTATTAAATTATTTCGTATAATCCTTGGGAAAAATCATTTTCGAAAATAAAACGAATTTAAAATTTATAAATTTAAAAAAAATAAAAAGGAAATAACAAAAAAAAAAAAAAAAAAAATTCAATCAACTTTCTATAGTTTACGGGAATGCTTGAATACAAAAAAGAAAAAAAAAAATATATTGACAATTATTTTTATTGGCTATTGTTATTTATTAAACGAATTCTATACAAAAATTTTTACAAAAATAAATATGAGTACTTAATAATAGGTGAAAGGTTTTTTTGCGCTGTACTCTGAATGTCAAACTAGCCTGTTAAGAGAGAGAAGAAAAAAAAAAAAAATTCAATGATGCACAGCGTCATTGAATTAAATAACTAAAAATATTTTCAAAACGAAATATAATTTAAAATTTTTCCGCAAAGTTTATAAATGTTAGTTTTGTCACTAATTAAAAATAATAATAAAAAGTATATCAATACAAAAAAAAGTATAAAATAAAATAAATTTTAATTGGATTTACCTTCTATTGTGACGAAACAATTTAAAGAAATTTTTAACCTGGAATACAAGATTTACTAAAAAACACTGCTGCCAACATCGTAAAAATAAAATAAAATTTTTTTAATTTGCTAACCCTTATCTCCTCACATTTAGATAAGATTTTTTTTTTTTAGTTAATGATATCTTTTTTAATTTTTTCCTTTAAATAATTTCACTTGAATGAAATATAAATATTTTTTATTATATATACTCATAAATAACGTTACATTTTGCAAAATGATGAATAAGTTTGACGTTTCTTTACGATAGCAAAATTGCTTTCGTTCATGTAGAGACCTGCATAGATAAAACCGTATAAGTCCATTTTGTGTTAATAACTTTTACAAATTATTTTAATGTTATTTTTATAAACATGTCAAATAAATTTCATTTATCTATTCTTTAAAATTTTTTTAAAGACATTTTTTATTCGTAAACTGTAACGAAATGTGACGTTATTGACATTAACTCAAAATCTCGATTCGATTTTTTTTTAACAAAAAAATTAAGATTAGTAGGGTAAAATACATGCTAGTGAAAAAAAAAATCAATTAAAAATTAAATATTAATTTGTGTTGTGACTAAAAACTAATTTAATTTGTATATTCATTCATTAACGTACCGTAAACGATTTACATGAATTTAATCACTTATACCCTTTTTAAACTCAGTGTAATTGTCAAAATGGCAGGAAGTGGTTTAAGTAATTGTAAGTCGTTGTAAAAAATTTTTTTAACTCACTCACACACATTCATTTCACAGTCGAGTGTTGTTCTAAGTTATAATTAAATAACGTTAATCAAATTCATTTTCCTTTTTTTAAATCATTTTTCTTTAAAATTAATTTTAATAACATTTTACTAACCGTTTTTTTTTTTAAAATTGAAAAAAAAATGTCAAAGAAAAAAAAGTAAAATTCAAACATGATGAACATCATTCGGTATCTGTCAATTTTAAAATTATCAATTAAATAATTCATTTCCCGTTGTTATTCGCGGTTAAATGTTTTATTTTTAACGTTTTTTTTTTTATCGTAATTCATTTAAAAACGCTAACGAAAGATTTATTTGACATAAAATACATCATTTTCGATTATATACATGTTTTCTTAAAATTGAATTTCAAGTTAAACCTTTTGGGGTAAGTAAGTTTTTTTTTAAATTTAATTTTTTTTAAAATATTTTATTTCATTATTGTCTTTTTGCACTTATTGATTATCAATTCATTTTATCATCATTTTTTCTATAATTAATAATTTATATTTGGTGTATTTTACTTATTCAACAATTATTATATTTAAAACAAAAAACTGTTTAATTTTGTATATCAGGCATTAATTAATAATGTAATGTATGTCATTGTTTGTCGTTAGCCATGATTGAACATTCGATGAGAGTTTTGATCACACATAATTATATATATAAAAATGTTTTTATGTATTCACCTCTTATTTTAATAATATCATTTAATAAATTTACTCATTATGGTTTGCCCATGTACATGATAATTAGCTTACATATTATTATTACCAATAATATGTTATTCGGAAAATTATAACATGTTCATGTTTTTTTTTTTTTTTTACGACAATGTAAGTTTTATGTTTTACATTTGAATGCATGTCGACTCATTAATCGATTGATTGGGTTAATTAAAATTATTTAAACAATGTATTCCTTTTATTTTTCTTGCCATCTGGTTTATACGATAGTTAAAAAAAATTCTTTAAGACCTTAATCGAATCATTAAAACAAATTAAATTAAAAATGATTAATAATAATAATGTAACATAGTTGGTTGGAAACGATTTAAAAAACAATAAAATGATTATTATTATTATTATTATTATTATTATTATTATTATTATTTTGTAATTTATTATATATTTGTTCTTGAAAACTTTTCTCTCTCTCTCTCTCTCTTTTCATTGTTTCTTTATTTCATGCACGAACAAGTTGATTAAAAACTATGTAATAATAATAAATTTTTTTTTTTTTTTTTTTTGAAAAAAAATCGAAAAATAAAAATAAAAATTTGTCGATGATGATGATGATGATGATAATAATAATAATAATGATATAAATATAATATCGTTAAATAATTTATATTCAGATAATAAATATACGAATAATGTAGAAAATTTAATTTATTAAAAATGAAACAGAAAAAAAAAAAAAAAAAAAATATTATTATTATTAATCATCATTATTATTATTAATTTTTTTTTATTATTTTTATTTATTTTTTGCATGTTGAACAAAACAAATAAAATGACTTTTCATGTCGAAAGAAAAGAGAGAGAAAAAATAATAATAATAAATAAATAAATAATTTTTTTTTTTTTTTTTATAAAAATAATAATAATATACGAATGTAATAATAATAATAATTTATCGTTAATGTTGGAATCAAGACGATCGAGAGGGCAACATGACAAATTTTTTTTTTTTTTTCGATTTTTAATCAAAGGAAACAAAAAAAAAAAAGAAAAACGTTTTATTCGATTATGATGAGATTCTTTCTCCCCCCCCCCTTTTATCTGTTTTAAATAGCAGAGACAAACGAATGAGATTTAAAAATTATTATCATTATTATTTGTTTTTTCAATAGATTGGAATGCTCTTTGAATAATAATAATAATTTTGTTTGTTTAACGGGGACCGTATCTAATGACACGACAATTTATTTATTTTTTTTCCCTAATTATTAAATATGAAATTTAATAATAAAAAAAAATGTAATTAAAATATAACGAAGACTGAAACGTTGACGATGACGATGACGATGACGATGGTGATGACGATGATGTTGATAATAATAATAATAATAATAATAAATTCCATTATTTCGTGAGATTCAACAATTAATTAATCAACACGTTGTTCATTTTAAAAAATAATTAATTATTATTATTATTATTATTATAATGAGATATAATCTTAACAACCCGTTTAATTTCGTTACGGAAAAAAAAATTTTTTTTTTTTTGGGGTGGGGAGGATGGGTGGTAGAAAGTTTGACAGGATCAAAGGGGTTTAATAAATAAGCTTTAGGGCGTTGTACGATGCGATGGAGGGAGGGGGTTGGTGTAAAAGAGGGTTGAACGGTTGGTGTCGTTGAGGGCGGATGGCTAATAAATCAAAAAAACGGGAAAAAAATAAAAATAAAAACTTTTTTTTTTTAATACGGGCAATCAATAATCAATAATCAATCATTTATTTTTATTTTTTTTAATGTTTGTTGTTATTGTTTGTTTGTTTTAACCGTTTGCCGTTGTTTTATTATTATTTCACATAAATTACATTTAAATTAAATACTGTTGGGGGAACGCGGGGGGGGAGGGGGGAGAAAAAGAGGATTTTAAAGGATCGTTCGAAATAAAAAAAATTTTTTTTTTTTTTTAAATTAAGCTCCGTATTTTTTTTTCCCCCCCCTTCCGAGTTTTTGAAGCTTCTTTCTCTTCTCCCCTCCCCCATTTTCCTCCCACCCCCCGCAAAAAATAAAAATTAGAATTTAATAATGTAAATGAAACCTTTTTAAACATTTGCGATTAATTTGAAAAAAAAAAAAAAATTTATTTTTTTTTACTTATAAATTAAACCGGTCAAATTTTTTTCCTCCTCCTCTACCTCCTTCTCTCTACGCCCCCCACTTTTCCGGACTTCTGGTTTGAATGAATTTTCTTCCCTTTTCCTCCTAACCTTCTTTTCCTTCAAGAAAAAAAATATGTACGTGAAACATTTTCGATTAAGTTTGATTTTTTTTTTTTTTTTGCGAATAGAAAAATCTGGGTCGATTCGTACCTGATTGAGGGGATTCTCGTGTTAAAAGTAATATAGTTAGTACCATCCGTTTCCGGTTTTATAATATTTTTTTTTGTTTCTCGCTTTGTCAAATTTGTAATTTCCTGAATGTTTTATTATAATGTCGGACAGGTAGGAAAATGAAATTTACTCGGATTTTATTTTTATTATTTAATTATATCAAATTGATTTACTTTTGGGATTCGAGTCAAAAAGTTTTCCATTTTTTTTTTCCATTTTTTTTCCTTTTTTTTAAATTTGATAAATAAAAAGGAAAATGATTATTATTTGTGACTTTCCTTTGAATTTTATTTTATTTTATTTTTTTCGAGTTTGACCTTTTTATTTTGTCCTTTTTTTTTATACATATAAAAATAAATTTTTTTTTTTTTTTTTCTTTTCCATCTTGTTCTTATT